TGAACAAAGAAGGAGGTTAACAGATCTGTTTGTTTACTTTCACCTTTCCTTTTCATTATATTTAATAATTCTGTTCAAGATAAGGTAAATTGTTCAGAAAATTGTTTTCTTTTAGTGCCTTCTGGAATGTTACATATTTTTTTCTTTAGCCATTATTGCCAGAATTCTTATCTTCATCCCAGTGCCAGTGAAGACAAAGATAAAACCAATCCATATATTCTGCAATAGCTATCACTGTACTGCTTGCAGAACTTGCCTGGATTATGTATCACTTGTATGCATTGTGAACTCACTTGTATGCATCATGAACTATCTGTTGGTGCATCGACTTGTGGTAGTGTTGGGGTATTTTTTTTGATGGTGTCATCAGTGGTACAATTTTTCCAATTGGCTTGGTGTATCCTCCTCCCTTCTGCTTGTGATGGTTGTTCACCTAAAATTTGGGGGCTAATAGAGGTGAGGCAAAGAACCTCACCCCCCTGCTGGTACAAAGACCTAGCCCCAGGTGTGGCTGTATGCTGGACCAGTAGTCAATGACAGGTAAGATCCAATTGCAATGGTACCAACCAAAGGCAGGAGGCTGACGCCTTGAGGTCAGCTCATCTGATGACGGGTAAAGCCCATATGTAGTATTGGACAACCTAAGGCAGGCATGGTCCCTAAACCACATGATTGTTGTTTGAACAGAGAGTAGGAGATGTTGAGAGCCACAGCCAAAGGGGCCCCAGCAAACTTCCAGCTGATTGGCTCACAGTGGCCCCAGCAACCTTCCAACTGATTGGCTCACAGCGGCCCCAGCAAACTTCTAGCTACCAGCTGATTGGCTTCTCTGAAGTGATCTCATTGGGCTGTTTCCCCGCCCTTTCAGACCACAGAGCCCCTCATTGGGGGACTTTTTTTGGCTCTGCCCATTCTACCCAGCCAATGGCCTCAAGAGCAGGATGAATTGGTGGGGCTGGTGAGGTTTGTGGGAAGCCAGTTGTGGCAGATGTGCTCTGAGGGAATTCCTGAAGAGCTTGTGTGTGCGGTGTGTGTTCTAAAAATAAAGTTTGTTTCTGCTTGATAAGTGGCTCGTGAATTGTGCCCAGCCAGACTGCGACAGAGGCTGCAGGCTCTGGTAACTTTGGAGAAGAAAAAACTTGTTTGCTTCAAGTTGTAGCTCCCTGCCACCTGGTAGAGTGGATAATCCAGAGCCAGAGTGATGGAGAAACAGCTTTATTAACAAGAACCAGGCACTGTTAGAAGATGGTCGGCTCTGACCTTCAATCTTATCCCTTGACCTAAGGGAGTTTGGGGTTGTTATTGTTGTTGTTTTTGCTACTGGGGATTGAACTCAGGGGTGCTACACCCCCAGCCCTTTCTATCTTTTATTTTGAGACAGGGTCTTGCTAAGCTGCCCAGGTTGGTCCCAAACTGGCAATCACCCTGCCTCGGCCTCCTCAGTTGCTGGGATTACAGGTGTGTGGCACTGCACCTGGCAGAAGAACCTTTTATGATATTTCCAGGGAAGGTCAATGGGTCCCAGACAGGTGGGTGTCTCAGTTGTCCAGTATTTCAGGAAGTAGCCTCCTCTGACATGTGGGTTATATACATCTTATCTCGTTCACCCAAGTCAGTGAGAGTTGTGGCCAGTGGATCTGAGGAAGACATAAATGATCAATGTTTCTGTGTTCATTAGTGAATTGTGAGACGGGTGTGGTGGTGCATGCTCATATCCTCAGCTACTTAGGAGGCTGAGGCAGGAGGATCACAGGTTTGAACCCAGCCTGAGCAATTTAATGAGACTCTGTCTCAAAATTTAAAAAAAAATGTTAAGAGGGCTGGGATGTAACTTAGTAGTTGAGTGCTTCCTTAGCAAGTCTGAAGTCCTGGGTTCAAGTATCAAAAAATTAAAAAAATAAGTGATGTGTGCCTGATTTTTGTTGTGTTGTGGCGGTTTTTCCAGCCAGCACCCTTCTAGGTGTGATCTTCTCCTGTAACTTGGGACTAGAGAGTGCTGGGTTTGGTGACTTCCTACCAAACTTTAGTGTGCATTGAATCTTCAAAGATAGCCCTTTAGTGGAAGTTTGTCCTTTAAAAAAAGCAGATAGGATCAAAGAGAGACGTATGAGAACTGGGTCTATATTGGCAAAGGGGAATAAAGTGCGCTTTCAGTGTCACCTTCCAGCAAACAGCCACCACTGTCCATACCCTACCCAGGCCTCTTCCTCCCAATCTTTCAAAATACTGCAAAGCACAATGGTGGAGCAGCAGCCACACCTGTCCACACCAGAGCTGGGAGAATAGCAGAAGGACAGGTCAAGGTCAAATACAATGACCAAGTGACCTGGACAGAGCTCATGGGTCACTATTATAACCTGAAGCTTCCTGACTGCCATGGTGTACAGGTGCCGCAGGTGTTGGAGAGGGTGGGCACCTCCAGCTCATGAAGGCAGATTGGTGCATATCACAAAGGCAGAAGTCTGTCCAGGGCTCGGCCATGCAGGAGGACCGTTCTCCTCACATCCTGGTTTCTACAGCACCTGTCAGGTGCTTTCTGAAGGAAGCCTGGGAGCAGTGGGCAAGCTGGCTCATGCCCACCTCACCTTTGTCACTGTGGTCCAGCCTGGGCCAGAAGGGGAGGACCCGGATGTAGGAGGACGTGCAGAACTTGGTGCCAATGCCCCAGGGAAAGTCATAAACCTCCGAGGACTTCAGAGTAGTCTCCTTGGAATTCTCCTGGACTTGATTCCATACCAGGATGCCTCGCTCCTCCAGGCTTCCTAATGTAGGACAGGAGAAGTCAAGAGTGGGTCCTGATGGCAGGGGAAGACAGGGCAGAGGGAGGCTCTGGTGGCCACATGCTAGGACCTGTGGCCTCCTCTTGGCACCCTGGTGCACATGCCCCCACTGACACCTCCTCCTCCATCTCGTCCCCACTTCATCTGCCTCCATCTACTCCTCTTCTCCTTTCTCCTCCTTCTCCTCCAAGCCCAGCTCAAGAATCAGAGCTCATCCCTGCAGGCATCCTCTGAGCCTCACAAGGAGCCCAGCACAGCCGTGTGGAAAACCCCTTTCCAAACCTGTCCTCACTTGAATATGCATGGAATATACAGATGCACTTCACACTTTGTGGACAGTCACCGTGTGAAACAGAATACCATGAAGCAGGTGCTACCACAGAGGTCCCCAGGAGAGGCTGAGGGAGGCCAGAGAGAGAGAGGAGAGCTGCTGGACATTGGCTACCGCAACCTTCAGAGACTGGGCCTCTTGATTTCCACATCAGCTCCTTGGACCCCTGCACACTCTATTTGCTCCTCACAGCACGTATTACCCAGTACCAGACTTGTCTGCTTTCTTGCCTCGTTCCCCATTAGCCTATGGACTTCCAGAAGGGACATATCTTACTACTCTTCATATTCTTGGTACATAGCACCTGCTATATAGCAAGTGATTCGTGGAATTTTATTTATAATATGAGTGAATAAATGAATATGTGTGATCTCTCTCACCAATTAAATTATAGGCTTCATGAAAGCCAGGGCTGTGTCTTTTTCCTGTTGCTTCTGGTACATTTCCCATTTAGGGCTCTGCTGTGGGGTGAACTCTCTCTCCTTTAAAATTCATACATTGAAACCCAAATCCCAGTTTCTCAGAATGTGACTATATTTGGAGATAGGACCATTACAATGAGGTAGTTAAGTTACAAAGAGGCCTTTAGGGTGACTCCTAATCCAATGTGGCTGGCATCTTTATAAGAAAGGGTTAGGACACAGGATCAGATACCAGGAATTTGCACACACAGAGGAAAGGCCATCTGCAAGCTAAGGAGAGAGATCTCAGAAATAACCAAACCTATCAGCTCCCTGATCACAGATTTTTAGACCCCAGAACTGTGAGAGAAGAAATGGTTTAAGCCCCCAGGGCTAGGATGTTTTGTTATAGCAGCCCAAGCTGACTAATACAGACCCTTCCATACCCTCATCTCCAGACCTAGAGCCCACTCAAGGTGTACCATGACCAGTGACCAGCCTGTCACAGTTATCATAGCTAGAAGCTCTCCTCGTCATTCAGACTGTACCCATTTATCCACATTGCCAGTTCACAGGTGAGCCCTACCAGGGATGGTGTTATCCAGGAGAAAGCCCAGAAATCCTCCAACAAACATGTCTGTGGTCAGCAACACCTGGATGACCTGGTCCAGCTGGAGAATGCCTATAATGATACAAAAGTGACAGGTTCACAGGACCCTGGGTCTCTGCTGGCTCCACAACTAGAGTGGTGACTGTGTAGGGGACAGAGCAGAGTGACAAAATGGAGAGGTGAAGAGCAATCACCTGTCTGCAGCTTCTCGGGGTTCTTCTTCACCCAGTTGGGAATGGTGAGGCCACAGTAAATGGAGAAGCCAAAGACAAAGAGGTTCCTGGATGAGTTCATGTCCACGTACTGCAGGAGGAAGGCCCAGAGAGAGGTGCTGAGATCACTCCTTCATGACCTTTCAGAAGGTTGGACATCTCTGGCTACTTCTCTCTTCCATTTGGGAGCAGTGTGGTTCCAAGCCAAGGATTCCCTTCTCCTCCCCCTGTCCCATTCTGCCCATCTCCATCCTCTGGGCTCCTGCTACTTTTCTGAGGCAACTTGCCCATCTCACCTGCAGAGTGGAGATCCCCACGGCACTGATGATCCCGAACATGACAAGGAACATGCCCCCAATCACTGGGGTTGGAATGGTGACAAACACAGCCCCGATCTTCCCCAAAACACCCATCAGGAGCAACACGAAGCCCGCTGTAACAATCACCATCCTGCTCCCCACCTGTGGCAATCAGGGAGAGATGGATGGAGAATCCGGCAGGCCAGACATCCCAGAGGCCTTGTTACAGGTCACCTTGAGCATTGCTGAGATGGATTTTTAGGAACAGGGCCCCAGAACATACTTCATACCCTCTGTTCCCAAATGGGGTTGGAGAGAGAGAAAATGAAGGCATGACTTTGGGGCCCAGCCTCTGCCCTCACTTCTCCACTCTGTCACTCTCATACCTGTCTTGAAGTGCTGGACCAAATGCTCTCCCATAGGAAGACCGCACATGAGGGGATTAGTCTCTCTGGAGTGGCAGTGGCCCTGTGCTTAAGAATGGGGGTTTGAGAGCCAATCTCAGCCCTGCTTCTCACTGACAGCTGTTACCTGGTTTGCATAGAGATCCCCGAGTGACAAGGAGTCTTGGAATGCTAAAGAAATGTGTTTGGCTACCTCCTTACAATTGCTATTAGATCTTGAAATAAAACACAGTTTCTACAAAGGCTTAAAAAATAGCTCACCCTGTATCTTGGACCTTGGTCAACATCCACCCCATCACATAGCTGGTCTCAATTCTGGGGCACACAGCTGCCACCCTGCTGTCATTACCAATGGTTGTGCTAATCAAGGCTCACAACTGGGGTTTGGGTGACAACTTGTATCAGTGAGGCAGAAATGACCTCTGAAAACAATCTGTATAATACTGCAGTGGTATACATGTGTCCTTATACACTTGTCTAAATCTGCAAGATGTACAACACCAGGAGTGAACCCTAATGTAAATTGTGGATTGTGGGTAGTGATGATGATGTCAGTTCATCAACCATAACAAATGTACCGCCAGAGTGGCGGAAGGCCATTATGCCTGTGTGGCAGAAATGGGTCTCATTATCTCTCACTCATTTTAGCTGTGAACCTAAAACTGGTTGGAAACAAGTCTTCAAATAATGACCCTCCAATTTGGAGGATTCCATATCATTCTTGGAAATTAGGGCTATATTACAAATATTCTCATCCTCATAAATCCAGTGTTGATGAATATATTTAGATAGTTCTTGAATCTGTTTCTCATTCCCATGTACCTACCACAGACCCTAACAGAAACTATAATATAGTTTCAGTCTTGCAAGATGAAAAAGTTCTAGAGATATGTCATATAACAATTTGAATATGATAAACACTACTGAATTGTACACCTAATAGCAGTTACCAGAGTAAATTGAATGTTTAGTGCTTTTTACCACAATTAAAACCTTTTGAAAAGATACTCCAGCCTCAACTAAAGTCCATCAATGCAGTGATAAAGTAGCTGATTGTACACTTGCCTGTTTTACTCTTTCCAAGCAAGATGCTTATTTATTTAACTGTCTTCATTAGAAATTCTTACCACATCAAAGAACATTTTGTTTTCCTTACAGCCTTGACAATTGGCTGTGAGAACAGAGGCATGACTACAAGCACCATGGATAGATGTGTCAGGGTCAACCCATGTCCTTTGCACTTGCCACTAGTCTCCTAAGGATGGAAGTCATTCCCCAATCTTATTACTGCACACACTTTGCATACAGCCCTGGGCTGTTTTAGTCTCACGAATGACATATGGGCTGGCAGCAGGACATCCTACAGAACTGACAGGAGAATTCTGGCCTTTAATCTTATTTCCCCCAAGACTTGGAGAGAATCAAGAAGTTGTGGGAACTCATTGCTGGAGAGGCACAACACGGGGCAGTACCTCAAAGGGCAGCAAGGGGGCGCGCGATTCCATAAAAGCGAGTGGTCTTAGCACCTTCGCCTCTTTCCCAGTTGATGGGTCTTATGCTTGATGTGTAGCCGTGTTTTCATCTATGTACCTTTATTTCCAACTTTCACCTTTTCCTCTGATGACCTTAGCTTGGAAATGATGTCCAGAAAAAATGGCCTTTTTTTTTTTATTGACATAATTTTTTGTTCACATGAGATTTATTCCATTTAGTGGGAAAGGAAATATCCACTGCTTTGTACTTATGTAGCACTGTATCTTATTTCTGCATGGGTTAATGGTCCTCCTGTGGAAAATGTTCCCCTCACTTGCATGAATGGCTTTGAACTCTTACAGAGTGGGTGTCATGGAACATAGGACTTGCTGTAGGGTTGGGTGCTGGCTCAAACATTTGCTCACAGATTTTATCTCCAGCTGTGCCAGAGGTCATACAGGGCACAGAGGAAGATAGATCTGATGCTATAAAGACTCTGCCTTCAAGATGCACATGAGCCACTGAGGGAGCCATAAGGCAGGGCAAGTCAGGGTGTGTGTGGGGGAGGTGCTGTATTTCTCCTTGGCTCACAGGACTTGCTCTGGGACCACTGCCAGAATTCACAGAAACATATAGAAAGCAACAAGGAAACACTATGGTTTTCTAAGTCACTTTGTTTTTTGGCAGCAGGGATTGAAGTCAGGAATGCTTACCCACTGAGCCACATCCCAGCTCTCTTTTATGTTTTTATTTTAAGACAAGTCTCACTAAGTTGCTTAGAGCCTTGTTGTTGCTAAGGCTGGCTTTGAACTTGATATCCTCCTGCCTCAGCCTTCCTAACCACTGGGATTATAGGCTGTGCCACCTGGCTCTAAGTCACTTTAGAAAACATCATTCTCAAGAGTTCTTGCTGATCTGATTGATCTATAGTGTAGAAAATGGGGAGCCATGAGAAGTAGATGGGCAAGATCCTGAGAAGACAGGATGGAAGGCACTACTTTAGCATCCAGGCGGGAGATGATCAGGCTGCGGCACTGGGGAAGATGAAAGGAGACAGGAAGGGGGCCATGGGGAGAAATCAGAACCAACAGGTGAGCAAGAAGTTAAGGAGGACATGCCAGTGGGGTGAAAAGAGACAAGGACGGCAGGAGAAGTTAGATAGGGCATGCGTTGGGCTTCCCAGAAGTCACTGTGTGTGAAGTGCCTTGGGGACATCAGGAGGGGCTGCCATGCACAGTGGATCACTCAGGTCTGTAGGTAAGGAAGCCCCCACCTAAACTTCAGAAAGGAATGACTCTCTCCAGTACCCACCAGTGACAGAATAGACGTTTTCCTTGTGGCATGGCCACAGTCCAACAAAGTCAAGGACAGAAAGTGGAATCATGGGCCCTGCAGAGGCACCTATCATAACCCTCAAATTTGCCAATACGTTGCCTCTAATGGCAAAAAATTCTTTTGGATGCTCATCATCTCTAACAATTAGAGAAATGCAAATTAAAACCACACTGAGATTTCATCTCACTCCAGTCAGACTGGCAATTATCAAGAATATGAGCAACAATAAGTGTTGGCATGGATGTGGAGCAAAGATGTATACTCATACATTGCTGGTGGGACTGCAAATTGGTGCAACACTCGGAAAAGCAGTGTGGTGATTCCTCCAAAAACTTGTACTGGAACCACCATTTGACCCAGTTATCACACTCCTTGGTGTATACCCAGATGATGTAAAATCTGCATAGTATAGTGATGTGGCCACATCAATGTTCATAGCAGCTTAATTCACAATGGCTAAGCTATGGAACCAACCTAGGTGCCCCCCAATAGATGAACGGATAAAGAAAATGTGATCCACATACACAATGGTATATACTCAGCCTTAAAGAAGAATGAAATGATGGCTTTTGCTGGTAAATGGATGGAACTGGAGATTATCATGCTAAGTGAAATCAGTCAATTGCCAAAATCCAAAGGCTAATGTTCTCTCTGATATACAGATGCTGACTCCCAATAGGCAGAGGTGGAGGAAAGTGGAGGTTCATTGGACTGGACACGGGGAATGGTGAGGATGGGGGGAAGGAGAATGAGAATGGGAAAGACAGTAGAATGAATCTTATATAACTTTCCTATGTTCATATATGAATACACGACCAGTGAAACTCCACATCATGTACAACCACGAGAAGGGGAAGTTAGACTCCATGTATGTATGACATATCAAAATACATTCTACTGCCATGTGTAGCTAAAAATAACAAAATAAAGTAAAATAAGAAGATAATAAGTTTGGGTTGTTTGAAGCCATCACTTTGTGCTAATTTGCTATAGAAGCAACAGGAAAGTAGCAGGTACGGTGGCAGATTCAGGTACCCAGCCTGTCCCCAGGAGCCACCATCAGTAGACTTACCTTGGTGATCCCCAGTGCGCCAACATTCTCGCTGAAGGAGGTGGTGCCATTTCCTGTCCCCCAGGCTCCTGCCAATAAGCAGCCAAGACCCTCGATGCCAATGCCGCGGTTGATGGCATGCTTTGGAGGGGGTGGGGCTCCCACCAGCCGGGCACAGGCAT